TCGATTTCGAAGAGATAAGAATAGAACGTCTGTCTGTCGCGAAGAAAGAAACGGTGTCATCGACCCAAGGAAAGAATCTACCAAGTTTCATTGGCTCGCCCGGTTCCTCGTGACTTTCTTGACCGTTATTACCGTTATTCCAAACGTCTGAGTACCTTTCCAAAAGAGCAAGAATCTAGGAACGAGTTCTGCTTGCTTTAAATTACAATCGGTTAGCGGTCTACACTGGCTAGTACATATATATATATATATACGGGGCACGTGCGTGCACCTAACCTGATGGCTGGGCAATAGAATAAACGCAGAGCAATCGTTATCGCTTTATCGACCGTTATCTTTACGAAATGCGAATCGTTCTCTTTCTTTTTCCCCGTATATTTCTCCCTCTTTCACTCACACACACACACACACACAACACACGAACACAATTTCCCTCGAAAATTGATTCCCACTACGCCAAGAGATCGTGTGCGATTTAATCCCGCTGCTCCTCTCCGTGAATAATGACAAACGCCACCTCGCGTTATAATTCGAACGGAATGCCGGATTGGAGGATTGGGCAACGGTCGGTAAACGGAATAACGGTGCATCGCGAGGAGAGGAGGGCCCAACCCAGGGTAACCCAACCCTGCTAACGCATCGTTCTTTGTTCCTCATCTAACCTAGCTTTCCGTCGAGGAGCGCGTAGGCATTTGTTTGTGACTTAATATTTTCGCGGTTGAAAAGATCCTTTCCGATGGAATCGATGCCTACGTTTGTTTCGCGCCAAAGTTTCGTTCGTCAAGTTTGCGCAACTGTATTGGCTCGCCGCAGCCCGAGTATAATTCAGTTAATGACCGTCCGGCGCGGTGCGACGCGACCGCAAAAAATAATTCGCACACAGCCCGTGTTTTCTTTCGCAGCCGTTCCCCCCTCCCCTCCCTGCCGCTCCCCCTATAGAGAGAAAAACGTGTTAATGGTATGCCGAAAGTTCTCTGGCGAGAGAAGGATCGTCACACTTTCGTGGCGAGACAATGTGCACCTTGTGTCGTTCATCGAATTTCTCATCGAACTTTTTTTCTTACATTTTCTTTCGCGCCCGATTTCACACGGCGGCCAACGACGGTCGTTTAATTAACCGCGAGACGATTCGAACGAGTAACGAGAGGAAAGCTTGTACTACTACTACTAGTACTACTACTACTACTATTAGGGGGAAAGTGCGCCACATACGTCTCACCTTCGAGTCCCACGAGCTCTTACGCTTGTGCTCCATCGCGACAGTCATCTTCGACCCGTTAAAACGATCCTCTTCTCCTCCATCAACGTTTCCTCGGTACATTAGCCGCGGCGTGCAGGCGCATCAACATCATCGTGAAATTCAATTTTCGTCTCTGTTCAACTCCGTCTTCTATATATATATATATATATATCGATTCACGCTTTTCAGTTTCTATTCACTGTTTTCTATTCACACCAAATACCATCTACGACGAGTATTTCCTCTCTTAGCGAGAAATAACCCTCTCGATTAACTCCGTGCACTTTCTTTTCTCCACCTTTTCTCCTCCTTCCCCTCCTCCTCCTCCTCCTCCTCCTCTTCCTCTTCGTCCAATTCAATATCGTTCGCTTCTTGACACCTATGCAAAAAATCAACAATTACAATACGGATGACACGCGCGGGCACATGTACACGCGCGCACACGCGCGCGTCACGCAACATATTGTCACGTTATTAAGAATCGCACGATAGGAATCGCGATCGAAAAAAATCGCGTAATACGTGACACCGAGTAACTAGATATTTAGAAACCTTATTCGCATAGAGCACTTGACACTGCTGCATTTACCGCGATAAGTATATATATATATAAATGTATATATATGTACGTTATACCATAGCCTCTTCTATATAGCTTCTTCTACGATCTAATCTTTTATTCGAAGGATCCCTTTTCTATTAAATTTTTTCCTTTTTATTTGAATATACGAATAAACGAGTCAACAACGCGTTTTCGAAGGAAAACGAGTGCGCGAAAATCTACGACCTCTCGAAAATAATTTAAAAGAAGTTTTCGACATTCGATCGATATAAATAAAGTTCGATCACCGAGATTGCGACGATTTCTTTTTTTTTTTTCCACGGACTTGAGATACGAGTTAAGGAGGCTGTCTCGAACGAAACCAAACTGCCAAGGGAACGGGGACCCGCCGTTTGCTAGATCGTTCCTTCGCTTCTGGATGCACTTTCACGTCATTACCGGTTCTCCACGACACGACACGGCACAACACGACGCGGGGCGCCGCGACGCCTTTATTGCATACACTTGCTGGAAAATGGAAAAATCGTCTTGTCGTTTCGAACGAAAACAACGATATTCGTGGAATCCGAATTCGAGACACGAATAAACTATTCTGACACAATTCCGTTGTTTGTCGAGAATGTGAAAGGATGCTGGAAAAAAAAAAAAAAATAGAAAGGTATCCAAAGAATATTTTTAGCCTTTAACCTGTTCTCAAGGAATTTGACTGCAACCGAAACCGCTCGTTCGAGACTTACTCTTCAAGGGTAACTAGTTAAATTAAACTACGAGCAACTTTAACGCCTTTCTTATTCACCAGACAAGGGCTTGTCAATGAACTTAATTCTACACGTACGATACACATATACATATTGCATTTTTAATATAAGACTATTGAATTTCAAGGGTAGATCGCGGATGGAAATTAAAGCTGTCCTAAGCAGTATCGATTTCGATTATGCACAAGCGCACGTTACTTCGATCATACGATTGTTCAACAATAATTATGAAAAAAAATGTGTTATACATTGAATAATAGAGAACATGCAAAAAAAGAAAAGAAATATTTTACAATTCCACATCGAAAAAAAAAAAAAATATACATATATATAGAAATGCTGAAAATGAAAAATATATACAAAAAAGTATTGCATGTTAAACTTACTTTCTTTTATCTTCGCATAAAAATCTACAGACAGATTTGGTCGATCGTTCAATTTTCGTGTACCAATTTTACATCACTACACGATCCATCTTACGCCACAATCCAACACATACTTTTCTTTTTCTTTTTTACGACGGGAGAAATATCGAATACGCGCGAGATGTTCACATAAAATTCATCGTGGTATCATATCGTCTCGTTCCACTGTGTTTGACGTTGTATTGGACGACAGCTGCGTCGACCGTACCGGAAACGTTTCCCTCTTCGACTACCGGGAACGTTAAAGTTAGCCTTTCACACTCTACGAAGCAACCGTCAAGGCGATCCTCTTTCTTCGTGTCACAGAAAGAAATAACCGTTAACACGACAGCCGAACCTTCGAGGAGCGAGGTACACGCACGAATGTGCGCCGCTCGGTCTACCGCCGATTAATGACCCGGGGGAAACGTATACGCGCCCTTCTCCAACACACAACGCTTCCAGCGTATACCGTTTACTATCCGCTCTTCGATTAATTGTTTACAATCCTATACGAAACTTTCTTCGCTCGTTAGAGAAGCATCATCCTTCTGGAAATTCTTCTTTAATTTTCTTTTTCTTTTTTTTTTTTTTAATATAACAGAACGTTTTATTTTCTTCACATCTTTCTTTAACAATCAATCTTTAAAATAAATGTTAAATCAATGTGTGGGTGAAATCGAAAAAATGTCGAAAATTCTTTTTCAAGAAATTATCTCAAGATTTTTATTAAAGGAAGAAATTTTTTTGTTAAATTAGATTAAAAGAATATTTAATATTCTATCCATTATAATTTTAATGATCTTTGGGAATTTCGACATTCTCGAATTCTTTCCAATATATTTTTATAAATAAGAAAGATTGAAAGATTAATTATTAATTCTTTTCATACGTACTATTAGTTTACTATCTTACTTGCGATTCAAAACTTCGAGGTTCGTTCAAATTCGAAATCATCCTGTAAGTTTCCCGACTTGTTAATTTCCACAATCCAAAGGAAAAAGCAGGTGAGAATGGAACGATCAGTGCAATTTGAATACTTAATCGTTCAGTTTATTCGTATGAACAATTAAATGATACATATACATGGTGTGTATGAATTACGTGTCTCTCACTTAGGTCTAATACATCGACAGCGATCAGAGGCGCGTACAGAGCATCGAACGAAGCAAAGTACCGCCACGATTGCGTAGCTACGTTAATGATAATAATAAAAATTAAGTATAACTACCCTGTAAAATACGTAATGCGAAAGTTCATTGATATTCATTTATATTTATACTTGATTGTAATTCACTGATACTCAAGAATGATACTATTCGTTTCGGAGTTGGCGGTATTCATAGGTAATCGCTTTCTACGATTCACGAATAGGTTCACAAATTTCGGAGGAAATTTATAATACAATGGCCACTCGAGCAATCGACAACGTCGAAACAATGGTGGGTAATGTCGAAACGAACGATAACAAATTTTATTCATGAACGAAAAATCCAACGAAGTGGAAATATATATATATAATATATATATATTTACGATACATAATACTGATTAATTAATCAACGATGATTTATCCAATAAGTGATTTATCGCACCTCGTTGGACGATCATTGTTATCATTTGTTTAACATTGTTGTGTCGTGACACTGTTCGGCATTGTCGATTACACGGGTACCTGTCACATCATAGACCTTCCTTGAAATGCAAGATCTTATTGAATCGCAAGAAAAAAAAAAAAAAAAAAAAAAA